CTAACCAAGTGCCCTTGAGTAACTGATCATCAGCAAGTGTGACCACCTCTATAAAACTCAAAGTTTTAGCAGTTTACTAGCCTGCAACATTCAGGTGTGTGTTAACACAATGCTAAGGCAGAAACACAACGGTAATGGTCATAAAGAGGCTGTTCATCAATCTGGGAAGGGTTAGAAGGCCATTTCCAAACAATTTAAAGTCCATCATTCCACAGAGAGGAAAATTATTTACAAGTGGAAAACATTCAAAACAGTTGCCAATTTTCCCAGGAGTGGACATCCATACAAATTTACCCCAGGGTCAAACCATACAATGCTCAGAGAAATTGCAAAAAAACCAAGAGTTACATCTCAGACTGTACAGGACTCAGTTGGCATGTGAAATGTTACTATTTATGACAATACAATTACAAAAAGACTGAACAAGTATGATTTATTTGTAATGGTTGCCAGGAGAAAACCTCTTCTCTCTAAAAAGAACATGACAGCACGGCTTAGGTTTGCAAAGTTTCATCTGGACAAACCACAAGACTTCCAGAACAATGTCCTTTGGACAGATAAGGCCCAAGTTGAGATGTTTGGCCAAAATGCATGGCACCACATTTGGCGAAAACCAAACACAGCATATCACCTCATACCAACTGTCCAGCACAGAGGTGGGAGGGAGTGATTATTTGGGCTTTTTTTTTGGGGAGCCACAGGACCTGGGCACCTTGTAGCCACTGAGTTGCCCATGAACTCCTCTGTATACAAAAGTATGCTAGAGTGAAGCCACCTAATCAAACAGCTAAAGCTTAGCTGAAACTGGGTCATGCAACAAGACAATTATCCCAAACAATCCAGCAAATCTACAACACAATAGCTGAAAAAGAAAATAATCAAGGTATTGCAATGGCTCAGAGTAAAAGTCCATACTTCAACCCAAATGAAATGCTGTGGTGGGATCTTAAAAGAGCTCTGTATAAACTAATGCCTCAGTGAACTGAAGCAATGTTGTAAACAAGAGTGGGCCAAAATTTCTTCACAACAATGTGAGAGACTGATAAAGTCATACAGAAAACGATTACTTCACATTACTGCTACTAAAGGTGGTTCTACAAGCTATTGAATTATAAGGGTGTAATTAATTTTTCACACATGACTTACAGTATTTGTTTGTTTGTTTATTCGTTCGTTCAATTTCTATCCCATTCCCATTAGTGCCAAGGCTTTTTCCATTTTGGATTTATTTTTGTAAAATAAATCCTGACAGTGTATGTCATGTGTTGCTCGTCAGGGATTGTGTTTACCTAATTTTCAGACCTGTTAAGGACCAGATGGTTTTTTATTATGTCTTGATATGTAAAACCATAGAATTCAAAGAGGGTGTACTTTCTTTTTCACATGTCTGTACATAAGTGAGAGTTGGAAGAACACAATCTACTCTGAAAGGGACAATCACTTAACATTTTCACATTAGTAACACTGCAGCTAAAGCCTTATTGCTTTTGTACTTTAAAGCAGCAACACCATTAGCCAACCTCCAGGAAAAATGGATGTTGGTTCTATCACAACTGTAAAAACATTGGGGTTTCCTTCTTTTATTTTTCACTGACACTTGCTTTATACTACTGATACTGTCATTATTCATTTGAATCTTTATGTTGCTCAGCAACCTTCTCATTCAAAGACAAATTAAACAGTAAACCATTTTACTATTTAATTTGGGGCATGAGAATTCAACAAGGAAATTTGGGGGAATTTTTTTTGTCATTGTTGTGTTTCCAAAATTAGCAAAAAGCAACAAATTTAGGTGCCGGTGGGTTCAGGGAGGCAATAGTCTTTGGAGGTTGACCACCCCTGATTTATGGATTGAATTTAGCTATGGAATACATTCATCCTTTTGGTTATATATAACTAATGAACTATTTTGGTTCTGAAGAACAAGAATAGCATCAACATATTATGCATATACCTCCGAGCACAAACAGTTATCTTGAACAGTTATTTCACATTTATGCAATATTTACTCAACAATCTCCTTGATGTTTTATAGAGCAACAGAATTTTTTTACATTTGACTTTTATTTTACAAATCTATTGCTAAAGAAACAACATTAAGACAAAGAGAAAACCATTTTGCAAATGAATCTGGACAACAGATGAGTAAAATACAATTTTAAAAATAAAATAGAATATGCTGCACATTTTGTTTACTGGCTGAAATCTTGTTCATGCAAACTTCACAGCATAAGGCTGATGACTTCACCAGCCAGGACAATTTTTGGAAACCTGGAGGTGGGTGCTGAGGGACAGGGGATGGAAGTCTTTAATTATAAAAAAAATTGCAACAGCTGGCAAAATCATCCCAGCAGCAGCTGTTTTTAGTAATTAAAGACTTTCTCCTCCCATCCCTCAACTCACATGGGTCTGTGACAATGAAAAGGATTACCTGGGATACATAGGGCCTCAGAACAGAATGGGAAACTGTTTAATTTCCCCAAAATTGACTGGTTGATGTCAACATCATTCCCAAAATAACATGTGATGGAGGAGCATCATATGGAGGCCTGTATCATACACTGCTTTCTCTTCTGTATGATTTCTATTGTGATTTTGAGGGGGGGGGAATCACGAACATTGGGCATATGTTCCTATCAGCTTCCCTGTGGGATACATCTCTATCACATAAGATGTATGGTATAGTGGAAAAGCATTGTGCCACTTTTTATTTTTATTTTCAACCACATAAAACCCATCATTCGCTGGAACCATACTGGTGTTCATGCAATGTTTGCTTAACTTGTGATGGCTAACTGATGGGAGGTTCCTGGGCATGTCTTGGTTGTAACTGGGCAAGTCATCCATGGCTGAGGCATACTGCAGCACCTTCCTAATTAGCTGCAACTGGTCATGGCAAATAATGCAAATTTTATATGAACACTAGTAAGATTCTGCCCTCTGTCTAGTAAGTCTTGCCTATGACCCTGCTAATACACCTGGCCACAGAGGTTGAGAGTTCAATCTCCCTCCCCTGTGCTCTTGGATGAAAAAAGTCAGACTGTCTAGCTTTTGACAAGCCTCAGGGCACCCCCAGAATAAGGGAATAATAAACTATTACTGATACTTTATACCTAGAAAATCCTGGAGTTACCATGAAGGCAATTACTTGATGACAAGTAATTATTATTATTAGGTACAACGGTCAAAATCCTGTTCATGATGCAAACTGGACAGTGTTATCCTCTGGCACCTGTAACAGTTAATTAAGTTTAATTAAAAGTTTCATATCCCCATAACTTCCAGGTTCCAAGGGTCCTTAGGGCTGCTTTTGAGCCTTGAGATGGAGAGGGGAGCCTTTAATAGTATTAAAAAAAACATTACTGGATTGATTCAATAGTCCTGACACTGCCAGCTGTGATCCAGCACCAGATCATGAAGTCATTCAGTTTGCGCTGTGTAATTATGTGAACAGGATTTTGACCAATGTCTGCTTTCATATATCATTATAATTCTCTTCTTTCTCAGGTTACTGTTTTACCAGGCCAAAATAAGTATCATTATTGGATAACACAGCCACTTGAACAATCCATTCTAAAGGCTCAGGAAATGTTACATCAGCTTCAGGAATATGTATGGCAGATCCCGATTTCCAGCACTGATTGTACAGTGTTAGCTATGTCATCTTTAATAGTTGGGAAGGGAATAGAAATTGTTACTGTTATGTGGGGCATTTTTAGCATGTAGCTGAATACAAAATGTGCAGCTGGAAAAAACTATGCAGTTGGAGCAATAGAGGAAAAATAAGTGGCTATAATCCCTTTTCCTAATAATGAAGATATAATTACATAATATGACAAGAGTAACTTAATAAGGGATAACTTCACTCCTTCTGTGATTTAATCATAATTTTAGTTACTTTTATAGTTAAGTAAACTTTGGACAGCCATATAATTATAAACGCGGAAGGATGTTACATAGTTCACGTGTTGCCACCGTGTTCTCCAGCATGGGTGACAACTGTGACAGGGGTGTTTTATACCACAGGCAAGCAGCTTGCAGCTTCGTTTGAAAACTAGTAACTAAAAAGTTAAACAGTTTAATTACTTTTGAGAAACATGCTAGGAACAAGCTACTGTTTTTCAAAAACTGAAATGACAATGGTAATTGCTTTTGAAGGGTTGTGCAGGTATAACTATGTTACATTTAAACAGCGACTTAGAAGGGTCTGAGGGAACCTCATTATACCTTTAGAAAAGGCTGAAGGCCAGATTCCATTGCTACTTTTCTCCAAAGAGAACCAACAGACCAAACCATGAATCATTAATTATGCTCGTTTTACTGAAATGCCTGAAACAACTTGATTTAGATAATGCCCCCTTCTTTTTAAAGCAGATTATATTTCATTTACACATCTTCTTGTTTTCAAACGGTGATGTCCATGCTATAAATAAATATCTCCAGGATGAAGAAGATCTGATATTTCAGAAAAAGCAAACTACAGTGGGAAATGTGCACTGCCAATATCTATCTATCTATCTATCTATCTATCTATCTATCTATCTATCTATCTATCTATCTATCTATCTATCTATCTATCTATCTATCTATCTAGTATATGTGTGTGTGTGTATATATATATATATATTACTAAGAAATAAAAGCAAGGTACTGGCTGGGAACCAAAGAGCCTAACATGTTACTGGGGGGAAAAACCACCTTGTACATGAGAATGTGATGTTGTTGGATCCTCAAGAGTGGTTTTTGGATAGTGTGATTGTAGCAGGAAGCCTCCAAAACATCATATGAGTCCCTTCTGCTCCCAGCAATTATACTGTAAACAAAACATTTAAACATATCATATACAAAAATAGAAGGAGAATGTCATGCATTTAACTCTGCAGATTGTTAAGAAAAATAACACCATTAAAGCATTATCATCATGCATTTTAGCAGTGCTGCTTTGATGAACACAAACCGGAAGTATTATAAAAAGTAATTATGTAAAATATTTCATTTACCTTGCACTAAGACATGCTGTTTTTGTTCCTGTGGGTGACTCCAATCCTTCCCCTGGCTTTGAAGATTTCTCCCTGTTCATCTGCTGCAGTATTGAGTTCAATTCACTAATAACATTCGCCTTTGGGCCTGAGAGAACTGGGCTTTTAACCTCTGTTACATCACCCCATAGCTTTGAGGTCCTTTGCTGTACAACTTTAGCCATACTGGGCTGTGCACTGATGGGAGGTGGGGGTGGAGCAGGTGGAGGAATAACAAAACTATCGACAGTTTCTTCAATTAGCGCATCCTTGTAAAGTGCATTGCTTTTGTTGATTATGGGCTTCATTTTTGGCTTAGGAGGTACTGGGGGTTTGTCCACCAGAAATGTTTGCCCATCTGCATAGACAGTACAAGTATCCAAGTTCTCGCCACCTTCAGAGGACAAGGTAGAGATGCTGGACACAGTTGAGATAGTGCTGGTTGTCTCTAGGTGATGGTCACTACTACTTCGACTGTCCACCTCTTCAATCCCAGAGTCAGTGACATTATCAAAATGTTCAGGAGGTGGTAAAAATGAGGCAGGCAAACAGTTTGAAAGACCCACTGGCTTCTTACTGTCTATTGAATTTGAGGGTTGAATGGTGTTAAAGGAAGCTGATGGAGTTCCATTTTTCCTCTGTTTGAGCAAATCTGTTAGGGCAGAGCTCGGAACTGAAGGGTCATCGGGGATGTCAAAACTGTTAGCAAATTCCAAAGGAGGAGGTAATGGCTCAGTAAAGATGAAATCTTCATCCAGATCAACAGACGCTAAAGGAGGTGGAGGAATGCGAAATGGTAAAATGATAGGCTCATCAACAGAGCCAACAGCTACAATAGTTTTGCAGGGAGATGGTGGTGGCTCAGGCATGGCAGTATCATCTAGTCCACTCTCTGTTGTTTCTGTACTTTCCTGTACCTCTGGTGGAGACTTTTCAGCATTCACATCCATTTCAGCATTTTCTGCTTCACTTTCAGGCATATCACTAGATTGTGTTGTATCTACTGTATGAACCATCAGCAAACCTGCTGACTTCTGTTGTGACGTATCCACAATATTTATTAGCATGTTCTTTTTCTCTTCTGGCCTCCGCTCTTTCACCATATCCGTCTCATATTTGTTCTCTGTCTCCTGCCTTCTCAGAGGACCTCGCGCATTTTGCCTAGCAATTGTAGCTGTCACAGGGAATGTAGTTTCAATATTAGATCTCATCTTTGTATCAATGTAAAGGGGTTTATTAAGGTCTGCTTTGCCAGATTCGCCTTTTCCTGGAATCTGCTGGGTTTGTTCTTTCATCGCTCTATCTCTGGCCGAAAGGGCAAGGGCTAAAGGTGAATTTGGATCCAGTAATTTCCCTGTGAGTGGATGAACATAGTTATCCAAACTGGACATACCAGCATTCTGTGTTGCCAATGCATTGTTTTCGGAACCAACTGTTGTTTGGGCTGTAGAGTTTGGTATCCTTGCATCACTCTGATTACTTGGTTCACTATTATTAAAAACATTTTCAGACTCTCTAGGTGCTGGGATAGGAGACGGTGATACAAGCTGCCTAAAGCTGTCTTCATGACTAAACATTCCCTCATCACTAAATTTAGACTGTCTCATACGTGGTGTTGGAGGTGTTAGCCCAACATCCTCATCTCCCAAATCTGTGGAAAGGAAAGCTGGAGAATTACGCCTGGCTTCTAACCTTTTCTCCCTGTCTCTCACTGCTCCAGCAATGGCTGCTGCAAATGGACTACTGCCAGTCAAATTATCTTCAGGTCTGAGCTGTCCTGGTTGCTCTGAAGACTGTGGGTCAATTTCCATGCTGCTTCCTTGACTACTTTTCCCACTACTGCTGGTAGATGGCTCTTTAACAATGATGGTGGGAATCGGAATGGAGCAGGTTTTTTCTGGACTATCCTCTACATTAGATTGTTTCACTAGCATTCCCTTCCGTCTCGCTGGCTTGGCTGGGACATAGACTGCTTTGCTTGCTATTTTTCCAACTTCAGAATATGGGTTTTCCGGCATATGACCTCTCTTGTTTCTGAAGCTTGCCTGAGTTGCGGCGTTTCTGCTATATAAGTCCTCAGAATCTAGAGAATAACGGTCCATCTCTCTCCGGTAATATATGCCTTTATCCCTTATCACTGTCCCCATGTTTTCAGATCTACCTGTAAGAGCTATCTTTGGACCTGAATTCTGATTAAAGGCAGGTTTAATTGTTCCATATATTCTAGTCACTGGAGATTTGGGAGAGTTGTAAAGAGAAGGAGGTGGCGGTGATGGAGGTAAAGACTGTGGTGGAGGAGGGATATCTTCAGATGTGTCTGGCATGGATAGACTTCTAGTAAATTTTAGCATGGGGGGAGCCAAAAATTGTCGCTCTTCCTCTGTTATCCCTTTAAAAAAATCACAAGCTACAATGTTTAATTTGCCCTTGTATTTTATCATCCACTGTCACCAATGACACTGTAAATAGGGAACATCAAATACATGTACTATGCGCTGTATAGTTTTAGAATATGCCTACACTAGTGCTCCTCTTCGTCAGATCTTAACTTCATACTTTGATTGCCTCAAGTGTTGTTCTGCTGCTTTTCATTACATACATGCACAAAAAAAATTATGCATCCTAAAGGCAGTAGAGTTATTCCACACTGTGGATAAAAGGAGCAAGGATTGTGGAAGACTGGAAAACAGAGGGAGAACACTTAATGAACATTTGTAAGCAAGCAGCTATGCATGAAATAAAACAAAATATTTCTGTGTGAATAAACAGAATGGCAAAGGAGGAATTATGCAACGTTTGGCCAAATTAGGAATATTGCAGTAAAGTTGCTAACTGTTACATGAGCTAATAAATCTCATGGTGGAAAGCTAGAAGTGGAGCACTAATCAGGATAGGACATGGCATAAAGCGTTGACTTTGCCAGCTACTTGTGATACTGTAGAGTGCAAATATGAAAACCTAGTGTTTCCAGAGATATGCTCTTTCCACATATAACTTCAGAAAACAACAAAAGCAGCAGCAGTAGTAGCAGCAGGAGCAACAAAAACAGCTGCAATAACAACAGCAGCAGCAACAACAACATGTGTCTTTTTGTCTGTTTGAGCCAAGACCATGAAACATAGGACCTCACACTTGACATGCATATGAAAAGGATTCCAGGAGTTTACAACTTGGGATTTTTAGAGTTTAAAAGTTTTCGATTAATCACAACGTCTCAGTGTGTTTTAAGGGCTACATATTATCTTCAGTCACAAGGTAGAAGACTTCCCTAACAAGTGCATAACTGTGCAGTTGATGCTACTGAAAACATGTGGGAGTAGACCAGGGGGCAAAGAGTTTTTCCTTTGCCCCAGCTGGAGAATAGCCATTCCATGAGTAGGGAATGGGAAGGGTATTTCCTTCAAGAGGCTGCATGTCTGCAACAAAGTAGGGGGGGTATAGCTAGGACTAATAGCAGACATTGATTCACTAAGACAGCTTGCATATCATGCCTCCAATTCCAACAGCTACATAACTTTGTTTGAAGGCTTTTATGTGTTAAACTAAGGGCCATTCCAACCTGTGCAAACACAGGTACTTCCCCTAGCATTTAAGATAAGAATTTTCACAATTCATCTTGATTACAAAGAATCACTAAAAGGGAAGCTTGAGCCTTGCTTCCGTGCATAATGATGCTTCTTTTCAGACACTTCATGCCATTCCTAGCCGGACAAAAACAGCATGTACAGTAGCAAAAGATTTTCCAGAAAAAGTATTTTCATTCAGCAACATAATACTTTGATTATTTCTATTTAATATATATGTGTTTATTATATGATCACATCATCTCTATAATAAAGGGATCATTAGTAAAAGATAGAGCCTATGAGTTTTTAAAGCTAACTGCCATTACTTTCAGCTAAAAATATTGCCATATTTTAACTCTACAAAGAGTTTTTAAATCATAGCTCTAAAGCATAGAACTATTTCATTTTTCAACAATGAATTATGCAGCTTTTGGCAACAGGCACATTCTTTTTGTTATTAAATGCTAAAGTTAAAACATGAACTTAAAAGCTCTAATAAAAAAAACCTAGAAGTGGTCATTACAATCCTAAACCCTCTTGAAACATACAAATATAGCTACTTTTGACTAACGGAACACATACATTAAAAGAACTGAATTCAATTTGTATTGGTTTTGAGAATTCCTAATAGGCATGATTTGCCTTTTGTCACTTTATTAATGCTTATTTTCCATTTCAAAATCATGTTTTATACATTGTTGTATGATTAACTAAATTTACTACAATGGGGAACTATTCAAGTTATAGTTAGTTACTAAACATTAAATTATACATTGTAATAAATTGACAAGGTGTTCTCATGTCATGGCCAACCAATGGAGGCAATCTGATCAAGGCTCAAAGTCAATTAAAGATTAAATGCATTATAAGCAAAAGAAGGATCTAATCAGGATAGAACCAGAAAGTGACACTTTACCTATTGATTTTTGACGTCTTACTGTACCTCGTGGTACACCCAGAAATGGGCCTTGCGAACTCCCAGGTACTGTAGGTGGCATCACAGCAATCCCTTGCCTGTCATACATGGACTAAAAACAAAACAAATAATTATTTATGTGTGAGCACAACTGTGTGTCATTTCAAATCGTGTTTTATTCTCATCTGTAGATACACTCTACCTCATACCTTTACTGCAGCTCCCTCACCATTCTGGAAATGTGTGCATTTCTGACTATCTGGTTAGAGCCACAAACTCCACACTAAGGATCACTGGAACAATATCAACAATGTGATAAGTAAAGATGTAATCTGCTCTAGCTAGTTGGTGGAGAATATGACTATTACTAGTAGCAGCATAAATACAGTGGTGACTCGCACAGCGAGGTGTGCTGTGCGAAAGCATCGCCGTGTGAAAGCATCGTTGAACCGGGCAGGAAAAGCCATTGGAACGCATTAAACATGGTTTAATGTGTTCCAATTGGGCCGAATACTCACCGTTCAGCGATGCTTCCCTATGGCCGGCAGCCATTTTCACGCCCTCCCCTCGCTTTACGAGGGCACGAAAACGCTGCGCGCGGCCATTTTGGGGCTTCCGGCGGCCATTTTGTAGCCGCGGAACAGCTGATCGGCGGGTCGCAAAGCAAAGGTCGGTAAGCGAACCGCTTAACGACCTTCGCTCTGCGATTTTCGCCCATTGGGGCCGTCGCTCTGCGATCGCATTAGCGATCAAAAAAACGTCCCCGTAGAGCAAATTCATCGCTCTACGGGGCGCTCGTTGTGCGAGGCACCACTGTACTTCTACAGAACATATTGAGAACTACAATGAAAAAGATAGCATGTTGCCTGGGTTAAAGTTTCATTTCAGATAATGTGTGGAAATATGGCAAAGGCACATAAGATACTCAACAACCATTCCTCTAAGTAGGGCTCTCAGAGTCTTCAGGGCTGTAACTCTGAACATCCCAATTAAATATCAATAGCATAGTGTTTGGTGATGAAACACTGTAGGTCAAAATATTTAGGGGGAACCAAGCTCTGAAACAATGCATCTTGCCCAAAGCTATCCAGGCTGGTTCATCTTCCAGGAGGCACAATGGTGAATCAAACTCCAAAAGATTCAGCCAACTTCAGAACAACTTTAATCACAGCATACCTACTTTTATGCAATAGGTAACAGGTAAGACTGTGATTGTAGAAAGTTATGTGTGAATTTTGGAAGAGGAGGGGAAACTATGCATATTGTTGTAGTTTAGTTCTTAGGTCATGTCCGACTCTTAGTGACCCCATGGACCAGAGCACGCCAAGCCCTCCTGTCTTCCACTGTCTCCAGGAGTGGAACTATGCATATATCCAGAGGTTTCTACTGCAGTGGTTCACACTGTTGAATGTATGAGTACATTTCATTTTAAAATCAAGTTTAGCTCTTTGGTAGCCATGGGAGAAATACCTTTCATTATTCTCTGCCACATGCATTGTGACTCAAGAATAATTTTTTCAAAAAAAGCATTTCAATCATGGCTTTGTGGCTGACCTATAGTGCAGAAATTAGATTCAATTATATCCTTAAAATAAATAAATCTCAAAGTCCCAAAGCAATACATTTCTCAACATCTATTCACCAGTTAAAAGAAGATACATACGAGGAATGTACCAGATAAGTCTCAACCTTCTGAATAAGAATCAAAGATACTACAGAACATCTTAAAGTGAAGATTCTCAAGAGAGGATTAGATTCTACCTGTACCCACCCACTGAAACATGACCTCCATGTATCAACAAAAATGTAATCAGAAACTGCAGCTACAGGACACAAAATGCTTTTGATCTAACAATGGACAAGGAAATAAAAGGCATAAGTGGTTGTGAGATTCAACAAATCAGTTGTCTGGAACCAAATATTAATTTTCAGATGGCCATGCACCTGACCAAGATACTCTCTATAAGGGATATTAATCTTGCAGGCTTCTCACAGCAAAATTTCTCTGCAGATCCCCTCCCCCTCAGAGAAATCTTGTAGGAAATCCGGTGTCATTATTTCTTCTGAAAGTAAAGCAAAGCTGCACACATTTATTGATGTTTCTGCATTTTTCCTGCACACAGTTCACCCAGAAAAGGCAGAAGAAGCAGTAAACTACACAGAAACTTTGCAATTCTGCCCTTTTGGGGCAGAACAGCAGGTTAAGTTGCATAGAATTTGGTAATCTCCTGTGCAAAATTGGGGGGGGGGGAATTAAAAAAAAGAGAAAGCTTTCCATTTCACAGAAAGCTGGGGAATCTTTCCAATGCAGGGGGAAGTCTTGGGTGAGGGGTCTTGGCATGGTAAGACCCAGAAAACCACAAACAAAGAGAAATTTAGTAAGCATTTGTCATATCCCTACTGTCTACTTGGATATCTAACATGTGTTTGTATATATCTGCCAGCTACAAAGTGCTAGATTGTAAGTATTTTGTACTAATTTTGCATATATAAAGTTCTGAATGATAGCAGCCTTATTTTCTTACCATAAGGAGGAGTTTCGTGGCAGAAGGTGATCAAAGGGACAAGATGAAAGAATTAAGCATAGAAGTAGAAACAAAGTCCAGTATAGTCTAGTACCCTGTTCACTTAGGCATAACTTAGAATCAATTATGCCTATGAGTTAATTGAAAATTTAATATGTTAACAAGTCAGTGCTGATATTTCCATGTTCCAGAATAACCATCCTTATTCAGACAAATAATTACATAGTTCATGCACCATCACTCACATTCATATCTGTAGCTGAGGGAAAGCATCTACTAGAAGGTCGCTGTTTGATTGTTGCCACTCTTGAGTCCACAGCTGCATTATCTGGAATTCTTGATGGCTTGGAAACTGGTATTATTTCATCAACTTTATCTGTAACACAGAAATATTTACTAAAATAAATCTAATTTGTTCAAGACTAAAAATCTAAATATTCAAAATTAAAAATAAGGAGTTTAAATTCTTAAATGATGCAAAGAAAGAGTTTTTTGGCATTTTAACAAGGCAATGCTTGAGCATCGTAAGTCGTGCAAGCCGAGCACTTTTATTGCTGCTACATAACATGCATGCTTTAGTTTTAAGCCTGCATGCATTTAATGTTTACTTAGTTTGACTCGAAAAACAATCCTCTTCTTCAAACCTTCAAAATGTGAAGGGAAAATATCTATATAGAAATGAAAAGAAAACCTTTAGAAATTGTTCACCTGCAGAGCACTGTTCCACACAGAAGTCACTAGAATTTTAGTGAAATTTCAGACAATAAAAGCCATTTTAAGTGCTCGCCAACCTGTTACTCCTGAGGTAAAGCTATTAGTCAAAACAATCTGGTAAACTAAAATAGCATTTTGTTTTTAATATTTTAAATATGCAAATGATTCATAGTTTATTTTTTACTGGCTTCTAATATGACATACATCATAGCTGGGTCTAATGAAGCAGAAGTCCTGTAAGCTTCATGATTAATCTACCAGGACTGATTCTCATAGCCAAGTTGCTAATAGTGAACTGCTTTCTATCAGTCCAGGATGCAATATACCTGCATTGTCTATGAGTAAACAGTAATGAAAAACTCCCACTAGGAGCTCAGATTCTATTATGGTGTGCAGTAGGTCTTGAAATAGTGTTGGCTTTGAAATTGTGATCTGAGATAATGGTGGATGTCATGTTATGGCCATTTTACTGTGGACAAAAGGCAGGAAAACTGATCTGGGCTGGAGAAAAGAGAATAGCCCACCATGGGCAAATTTGTAGTGAGAATCATTTCCCAATTTTAAATCAATAATAGAGGCCAATAACATAAATTTTATCTGCACCTCTCCTACCTCAGGAAAACCTGGATCCCATAAGTACAATATGAATCACAATGAATTACAGTTACAAATTAAAATAGGTGCAATCACTGTATTAACTGTTGCAAGAGGAAATGTTCAAAACTTAGATTGAGATGATTACTGCATTACAATTATGATTTACCATTTTCTTTATATTAATGCTGGAACTGAGGCATTTTATTTGTCTAAGATTACATATCAGTTCAGTATCTGCACTTGGAGTAGGATTCAACCTACATTATAAATAAATAATCCTTTATTCTTCATTTGCCACACCTCCAGGATCAACATATAGACCATGAAATCAGACTAAGCAGATGCACTATTTACAGATGACTGTTTATAAATCATGATTATTGCAATGACATTTGAAAAACTTCCCTCCTAACAAAAGGACTCTGAACACACAGCATATACGCATACATAAAAAGTTGTGTATGAGCGGGAAATAATTCCACAGCCTGTCAGTATCCCTTTAAGCTGTTGTTTGACAACTGGAGTCTTTAAGTTGTCATATTGTTCATGCTAATTTTCCTAGAATTGAGTATAGAATACCTGCATAGAAAATTGCTTTAGAACAAAAGAGAAACTGGTTCATTCATTACCAAGTAAATACAGACACCTCAGTTTCATACAGGCAATTCCATATATGCAGATGGCTACATTTAAGAGAACTGTTTTCAGCTCCTCACCAATGAAGAGCATATCCAGCCTCCAACAGTCCTGCTAAGAATGGGAAAAGGGTAAAAGGAAATGGCTTTTACGGGAGCACATCTAGTTAAAGGTAGACTAGCATTCCCATCCATTGCTCCGTGGGCATTGCAATATGCAAAAGGAGCCCCTGCATGTTTTCGTGTCTGCCATCTCAGTGGTGGGACTGGTCATCACTGAAGTGAACAGGGAAGAGCCTGTGGCTGAGTGGGTTCTGTGCATGCATCAGAGTCTTTGTGCCCAAGAGGGATGGCTGCTGGATCAGGGCAATGGTGTTTAAACAAGGAGGAACCACTGCTGATGTCTCTAGCTGAAAAGAAAAGGTGTGACTGGGAAAGGTCTCAATCAACTAACTGTTAACTCCATAAAATGGAACAATACCACTGACTGTGAATCAGTAGTAAATTTTGTTACCTTTCTTTAAACAAAATTAAAATTATGTACAGCCTGTACTAAATCTAGGAAAAGCACCACCCTAGAATACAGTTTTCAAATTGTGTCTGTTCCTTTCTGATTGGCTTTTTTCCCTGATATATCTTTTTATTTTTATTTTTTAACACTTGGGCATGCGGGTATATCCACTACCAACAGCATCAAAAGGGAAGATTTCATAACAGTCTCTCCAGTCCTGTAGATGATCCTTCTAGACTCAGTAGTGAATGGCTTTGATTACTGGAACTATTTGCTACTCGATTCTGTAACTTGTGTAAATTCTAGGTAGTCATCAGCTTTATAACTGATTAGACACATAAACTACAAGGAAAGTATTAAGAGGGTTTGACAGATACTTGGAAAATCATGGACCTAGTCACTTCGAAAATTAAAAAAAAACATGCATACATTCAAGTACTGACCTTCCAGAATAGTACTGGCAAATACTGTCTAAAAATATCTGTTATTGCCACCATACATTAAATCTGGGAGAAACTGTATCTTTTGTTGATCTTACAGCTTTATCATCATCTCTTTTTGTCCTATAGCTTCTCTCACTCAAAACGTAGATGTTATCAACCTTTCCAGTTGTAAATAAGGATAACCAAAGCATGTTGGAAGGGGGAAGGGGAAATGGAATTCTATGCATTGCTACAAACAAGCAAACAAACACAAACAAGCTACCTCAGAAATGGACAGCACTGCTAGATGCCTATAGGCCAGTAATTTGAGGCTGCTTCAGAAAAAAGAATTAGTAAAATGAATAATACATTGGTGACAGTAAGCCCTCAATAAACCAAATGCATTAACTTTAGGAGGGAAATTCAGTCCTTTCAACAATACTTATGTTCTGTTGCTAAAAACTGGAGCACACACTTAATAGGTTCTGCAGTGAAATTCTTAATATCTCGACTCCCACTCGCACGTTCTATCACAATTTTAGAGAGACATAATGCATTATACTGTACTGTTACATTGAAACAGTCACTTCCCTTTTCAAACACAGGGGGGGAAAAGGAGAGAAAAATATTAAGGGGTAATTATCAAATTGATGGATAACTTGCTTATGACTCTTTGGAACCTGAAAAAAAAGGTTGTCAGATTGAACTTTGTTGTTATTTCTCCTTTGTTTTTACTACTATATACCTTCATTAGAATGTGAATTCTTGTATTAGTGATTCAGTCTCAAATGAATTTAAGATCTATAACATATTAAACTAACAAAATACAAAAGCAGGCACAGATGGGGTGCAAGCAGTATGCAGGTGTGAAAAGGCACACCTGTCTGATAGGGTCTTTTTGACAATTTGATCAAAATTGCCCATCCATGGATGTGTTGTTCTTTCTAGATCTATTCTGCCAGAGGACAAATGTTTGAACCAAAAGTTGCACCTGCAAAATGCCTGCATTAGAGGTTGGCCCACACTAGCTGCATATCATCCTTTGCTCAGTCATTCAGCAAAAAGCAGCCACAAGCAAATGTTTCACTAAGGCACATATGGCTGATTTGCACTGCAGCAAAATGCGTCCTGCTTCAATTTTTCTTCAGCCGGAAAGAATAAGACTCGAGTTGGATTGGAAATGGTGATTGACAGCCAGGTTAGCCATATCATTAGATGTAGTGTAATTATGGATTTTACAAGTATGATCTAATTTCTCCTTAGGTAACCTAGTTTAAAAGTGGAGTTGGAAAATCAGCCAGAACTAATAATGCACTTACACCTGTGCGAGCACCCAATGCCCAGTTGAAAACAGGATCTTTAAATGTTAATCTAGGTTCTACTCAGATAGCCATTCTGCACTGTATCCATGCATACAGAAGAGTCTGGGTCTTACTATTTTAACTGACCCCTGAGACAGTCCCAATAATAACAACCCACTCAAATAATGCATTATTTATCTTCATGGCATGCCATATTCAACCCCGGTCTACTCACAGCACTCTAGTATCAATATATGAGCTGTTCTAAAGCGGAAGGAGAGAGATTCTGTACTACCAATGCATATATCTACACGGTGTAGAGCTGTTTTCAGACATGGTGGCACATTACCCAACAGCATGTCATGACTCTTACATTCTGGGGAGGTCTGGCTACAAGGAAAGTAGTAACTTTGGCCTGCATATTTGTTTATTTTGGGGAGTGATTAATTTAAACACTTTGCTGTTTTCTCTGTTTGTAATACTCTAAACTCTCTTATAAGGTAACCATGTTATCAATCAGTGCTCAGTTTTAAAAGAAGGGGTTTTGAAAATGTGTATGTGCCTACATAGATTTCCTGACACACTTTTCTCCAAGATACAAAGGATGCCAATATTGTCCTAGCAGGTTGTATATTACACAACACAGCCAAGGTGTGTTGAAATCAGTACGGTCAGACTCACAGAGGATAAGAATGATCATGATCCAAAAAGGCACTTACAGGCTAACCCCAACACCTCAGGCTAGCATGCCAGAAACACCAGGCAAGACTGATTGAACACGATTTCTGAGCCGGTTATTGCCAAGATCCACATACTTACCAAGAACTTCAGTATGCTTGCTCAGAGGGAATGAGGGGGAGGGAGGATAATGGAAAAAGAAAACTCAAACAGCTATGTCCAGAAATGATTTGTATTTGTAGGAAAAGCAATGAATGTCTGGCACAGTGTAAAAAAAATGCTCTCATGAAGCTAAAGTGAAAGAACAAAAGCAAATGTTCTTCAAATACCAGCAGCACACATTGTTAACAATGCAAATATAAACTACAAAATGTTAGACTAATCTAGTCAGCCAGAATACAATGTTAGCCAAATGTAAAAATGGTCAAAGTCTGCCATTCATGGCCTTATGGCTAAGAAGTTAAAAGGTCAGGCACATTTAAAAAAAACCCTTAAAAATACTATCACTAGTGTGATAATTTATTTCTTCTTCCCTCCCCCTTTTTCCTGACGCATGGGCATGGGCAATGAGGCCCTCTCTGTTATGGCTCTCTGCATTCGGCCACTGCGACGAGGCACTGTGGCTTGTGGTGTCTCATGAGAGTCATTAATCACTTCTTCCCCTGCTAAGTATCCACTGGGCACTGCCACTGCATCCTCACCCGTCCACGTTGAAGCACTAGTTAACTCAACATGAGGGGTGGCTCTTTGGGAGATACGTGTTTCAAGGACCTGTGTCCTTGGCTGTTTGAGGAAAGCTAAAATTTCAGATAGGTAGTTATGGATGGCTCTTGTGGATGTTGCCACAATGCCTAGCTGCAATTCCATCCGGCCCATGGACTGTGACATGAGACCCATGGACTGTGCATGCTCTCTCTTTATGTTTTCCAGCAGCTGTACAATCCTACTGTTGGTTTCCATCAACAACTTTTCCCCCTCTGTCAGCTGAGTTTGCCCCCTCCAACCCCGATCCCTAGGGACAGGCTGAACACCATGGTGCTCTTCGTTCATCTCATCATTTCCCTCCTCAGGAGAGTCACTTTCATACTGGGGAGTTCTACTGAGACACTGATCGCCAGGAGACTGTATGTCCATTGTGCACTGTGGAGTCCGCTCTGGTGTTGGAAATCTCTCAAAATCTTCCCCAACATTGCTAGGAGTTTCAGATGATGACAATGGCCAGGGCCAACTCTCAGTAGTTCTGGCTGGCGAGTCTTCATCAGAAGCTGGAACTGAGGATTCTTGCTCCTCTGCAGGTGTGGATGGCGAGCTTCCTCTCTGGTGCCTGGGTTGTCCGGAAGATCCAGGAACCTCCCCATCTTGCTCCCCAGTGACATCTGGCAATCAAATAGAGGAGCAACAACCACTATATCTGAGGCCAGAAAGATGGAGGAATCTACATACATTGGACAACACACAGAAAGAAGCCAGTTGGGAAACCAGAGTGTTTGTGTCTGGGCAAACAGTAGTGCATACTAATAGTTTAGATATTGAAAAGTGCAGGTATTACTATGTTATGCAATGCACACTGTCCTTTACCCACAACACATACAACTATGCTGGATCCCAAGGCACAACTTTCAATACACCTTTTTGTGTAAATGTCTGTGAACCTATCAAAAAGCTCACCTATGCATTGTAGTGATGTCACAGTCAGAAATCTCTGTGATGAACTTTGAAATGTCCAAGCGACCTGAGCTTCCTGTAGTGTCAGATGTGCTCCACCACTGGCTTGCGTGGCAGCCCTTGAAGCACTGGTTGCTATCTTCTCTTTTGTCCGGCGTGTCATTTCACCCCTAAACCTCCTCCAGAACTATTGCCACAAAATCTGTGTGACAGTCAATCAAATTTATCCTGTGAACAATGTCTCTCGGGGATTTTATTTTCTGTACACATTTATTTTCTTGTTGCTGTTTCTAAACTGAAAATAATTGCATACACTGGCATTGTTCATCAGGATGCTTTTTGTGTTCTTGTGTGTTTGAAGGCTGGCCTCGCACTTCTTTTGATGACTTCTTGCCTGAATACTTTTACAAGGTAAATATAAAATGTGCTTTTCCATTCATAGTGTAAGTTAGAAAAAAAATATTAAGTGTTTAAAAGGGCATTTTACACATCTATGTGATTTAAATGCACATCTATACTGAAGCAAATGTATTTCCGAACACTGGAAAATGAATATATATTGCATGCACTTTCTAAGTATACTGTCATGTTCTACAGTCTTTTATCTTATGCAGTATAATGAAAATTGGGAAAGCATTCTATGCTGGAAAAAAATAAAGTAAACCTCTGGCTCTGGAAAATTTTTGATAATTTACATTTCTTGATGGCCACTTGAACTATTATAATTACTATTTCAAGATAACACATTTTCCACTCTCAAGAAAGAGTTTAACAGAGTGATTCTGATTAAGTCTATTTCTCAAACAAGAGTAACTACTTCTGATAATTTCTGGTGAACTGATTGCTCTGTTCAGTTGGTGCAATACAATTTGCACCTATTTGACTCTTGTGTTTTGTTAGGTGTAACTCCTGCTCATTGACACACACCACATGCTGCTCTTGTGAACTTTATTTGGAGCTGTGTATTTGCACTAGAGGGGCATGGGTGTATGTATGTTTGTTAGATTATAACTTCTATTTATTGATTGTTCCTCAAGATAATCTTTCATATTTTAGGGAGGAAAGAAGAATGTGATCCTCCAGAATGATTTTCAGATATAATAAAGATCTATTTCACCACCCCAATCTTGACCTCCTTTGGCCATATAACCATCTAAAGGACATTGTAATTTCATGGATCAATATATATATATAAGATTTAATGCTGGGAGTACTAATTATTGCTCCATCTAGCAATTAAAATATGCACATTAAAAGTATTCACATTCTGTTTGTACAAGGTTAGACCATCGAGTTGCATGTTTATGGAAAAGTGAGGATGAGGTTGTATTTGTTTAAGATGTATGAAATTCTTATGAAAATGAATGTGGGTACAGAGTGGCATGCAAGCCTTGGATCTTCCACTGCATGGAAATTTTGAAAAAAAAAAGTGGGGGGGGGCATCATGAAGCAATTTCAGTGTAACACCTGCTGCTTTTGCATCTTTAGTTCCACTTTTCCTCCACCAGCACAGCAACAACTGTAACCAGTTGTTCAGTTATGCCTTAGGTAAGTTATAGTATATGATCCACAAGATTCATTTGCTCAAATACAAGGGGGGGGGGGAATGGAATGCTTTTCACCACATGGGCAACTCTAGATTGATTTTCTAGAGTATAAACAGCCCATAAACAAGATGTGGCTTAAAAAATAATTTTCTCTGCCCCACATCTTTGACCTACTGAATTTCATGTAATATTATATAAGAAAATTGTTTTCTAAAGGGTTGTATGGGAGGCCCACAATAATGTTGTGTTAGAGTTCTCTCAAGATTTTGATTGATTACACTTATATATGCACAGCACATGTACATAAAAAGTAATAAAGTCTTTATTGCTAGGCTATGCTGGACATATGGCCTAATTAGCTGTGACAAGGTTAAATCAAAATATGCTTATGGCCCCTGAGCAATGTCTGGAATTCAAAGAAGATAAATAGTACAGAGAAATAGGCCATCTCTGTTCTTGAACTGTGATTTTATTGTTGATATATTGAAGTCAGAATCTTTTCATATTTGTTCATTTTTTTAAAGTTTTAGGTCATAACCTATCAAAGACGGAAAATGTACAATAAAACCTAATGTCCCAGCTGATTTGTAAGTAAAATTATTTTAAAAGTAAAGGGGATTGTTTGTCATTTATGTTTATGGGTCATCTGCCAATTGCTTATGAATCCTGTTTTCATGATGGCTAAAGTACTTATTGTTGAGAAATATTAAGATTATTTGATCTAATATGCTTCCATGAAAATACTGTTAGCCTCCTAACTGGAAAGAGAGTATGATATTATATGGCATGGGTAGCCACTCACATAAATAACAAACAGGTTAAACAAATATTTTTTTGAAACAGGTAATGGACTTGACTCTTGACACAACTGTTAAATTCTTACAAATCATGAATACATTAAAATACACTGTGATAATTTCTTAAACTTGTTATTAACAAAGAAGGGGTAACATTAACAACAACAAAGAGTTAAAGTATCTCCAATACTATGGTTTCAACCTTTATTTAATATGAATATGGGGAAAATAGAACAAAAAGTATTTTAGATATGATCTTAATCTAGTCGAGATAATGTCGGACATCACTGTGCAGAATGTATCTGGTTCTGCTTGAGAGATCCTTTTTTTGCTGTCTGGCCTGATAAAATTCAAATCTTAAACTTTTTGAGATGATTGCATCAGTTGCTATGTTGGTGGTGTGGAAGAAGTGTATTTGGAAGAGCAGAGACAGCTGAATTTTGGGTGCCTAGAATTGATGCTGCTCAACAACAAAAGTACAGTGATCAAATGGTTTACTCGTTGAGTGATGTGACTAGAAATATATATTCCATATTAGTTGACCTAAATATTTTTCCTACCAATCTGTGTACACACTTAGTTGGATATTAAAAGAAAACAGTATCTGATAAAGCACTTATGCATGCCCAGTGCAGGTGCCACACTGATGATCTCTTAATCATGGTTAAGAGACTGGGAGGAAGCTGGTTAGCATTAACCATGGTGTCTCTGCAGATGTGACATTAAACCATAGGTAAAAAAACAGAATAAGAGATAAGCGTGCAAGAGAACACTTGTCACTACAGCTTGCTCCCAGGCCTTGCTATCTTTATATGTGATTTCAAATCCTGATAAGAGCTAACTGGCATTAATCATGGTTAGTTAACATAAAGATTTATTATTACCCGAAAACAGATGATTTTGTATAAAAAAGCAGTACAAAGTAATATACTATATGAAAGACACTAATGCATTTACTAACAAAACATAACACTCTAAACTTTGCAGCTTCATTTTGTCACTGAATTAAAACTGGGCATATAACCAACTAAGCCTAACTTTAGGAGCCTAGGAATCATGACCTCACTAGTTTCTGAAATTCTGATACAGTGTACACTGTGTACACTGTTTTAAATTGCATTATATTATTATTATGTCCGTGCCCTATCCTTAAATCTTCTAATATTGGACATGCCATAAGTATTTTAATAAATCATTCAATAAATCATTTTAAAATAATAAACTTTAGAAACATAACACTGCAACACTAAAACACAATTGAAGCTGACAAAGGGAGAGAGGAAGATAAGCATCTTTGAGACATAAAGAGAGAGAATAGACCAGTGTTCCTCAACCTCATGCCTTCCAGATACTTTGGACCACAACTGCCACAAGCCATCTCCAGCTGGCAAAGCTGATGGGAACTACAACCCAAAATATACAGAGGCATCAGGTTGGGGAAGACTAAGAATGAAGCATATGTGTGTCCATGGCCCTATGTCAAACTGTGATTAACAAATCAACAACCTATCTATAGTCCACAAAAGACAACCTTTACCCTCACTTAAAAAATACATCTGAAAACAAACAAAGTTGAATAGAATACTTAGGATCTTATCAGTTTCCCTTCCCCCTGAAAGATTTTATTTGCACTACCTGCAAGGTGGCAGTGTTAGAATTTTTACTGTCTTTCTGTATGATCAGCTACCTCTTTCATTTCTCTGATGATGTAAATGATTAGTTTTGCAACATAACATATTGTCCTGCCACCTTCCTGTGCATGATGCATTTCAAGATTTCTTGATGTGGTAATCTACATCAAAAGTTGTAACTTCTTCAGGTGAGCAGAGTGATAGCTTCAACAAATATTTTATACATGTGTTCATTATTCGTAGTTTGCCTATTCCCTGCCCTGTAAGAATTAGCTATTTGTTCTGGGCAAGAGTCTGCTGGATGTTGCCAGAAGTCAGAACTACACCAGCTCCATAGATGTATGGGTAGGATCATGGTGTTGGAGTACTGCTGGCTCCTTGCATCACAGAAGTCACTGTCACACTCACGTGACTATATTCCTTCAAATTTCTCAGTAAATGCAGGCCACAATGTATAGTTTATTTTTGGTTTTAAGTCCACAGAAAAACAGCGAGAGCAACTTAGTTGTAGAAAGGCCATGAAAAGAGCACAGACTAGAGCATATATTTACAATAAAGGCTTTAGTTACAAGAAAAAAAAACCCTCATATGATCATTGAGAACAGTTGATTCTTATGCTCATCTTGGAGTCTTACCTGCCACTTGAATTGGCAGCTGATCCCTCCCCTGAGATGTAATGCTCTCAGAGTCTCTCCTTTTGAGATCCCTCCAGATTGTTCATGTCCACTACTGGGCTGCTTTCTTTTCCCTATACAGTATAATCTTCCCTTCCCTTCCAAATGAATAAAATGATATGAGTAGGTATGATCTTCTTGCTGTGAGATACACGAAGAGTTCTTTGAGTAGAATAAATATGGGTAGAAATAAGACACCTATAGTTGCAACCATGAGGAATTTCTTGAAGCCTTGAATTGTTTCCATGCATTTGGGTCCATGTTTGCATCATAACCCTTCTTCTTACGTTATTTAAGCTGACTGAGATAACGCTGAATGTCTCTGAATACCTACAACAGACACAAATTAAAAATTGTGCCAAGCACAAGATTTTACTAAAAAAAACGGCTGCAATACGTCTTGCGTCTTCATACCATGACTTCCCAGTATACCTTCCTAATAATACAACTGGTGCCAACACATGCAAATGTGATTCATCTGCACGTTGATGTTTTCCTAAGTTTTGTTCTTTGAGATCTATATGAAAGTAGAACTTGTGAAGCAGTCTAGCACATAATAATTCCTGCCACCCAAGATAAGTGTGCACTTACAAGCCAAATATTTGAAAAAAGCCTGTGTGCCCATTCAAATGAGGAACATTTTAGGCAAATCATACAGTATGACAGCGAAAAAAGATGTGTGTAGTACAAAAATGTTGTATGAATAAGCACTCAGGTTCTATCAGCTGGATCCATATTTGTATGCATTCAACTGGACTTTAAAAAGTTGATTTTCCTGCCTTCTTCTGTTCACAGTAGCTACGGTATACAAACACAACATCTGAGAGTTAGGAGCACTTGCTGAAGCTGTAGAGTGGGTGGCAGAATCCCCCAGATATGGAGGGGACAACGTCAGTGAGCAGAGGCATTCCATCATTAAAGGCAGACCTTGGAACCAATTCAAAGTCTCATTCCATCAGGCATCAGACTGCAAAATCCAGAGTAGATTGTGTACACTGAATTGTGCTTCCTGCTTCTTCAGCAAAGTAAGTAAACTAATGAAATACTTATTATTTACTATATGTCTGGCAAACTCTAAATCTAATAAAATAAAGTAAAATAAAAACCCCAAACCCATACCTGCCATTAATTTATTTCAAATTATACCAAAAACATTAGAACATGAGTACACATTTAAAATCCCTTTGCAAATTTTCTGCAGACTTCATTATCTTTCTTTAGATTACCATCATTCTCCTTATCTGCCAGATATTTCAACCCCAAAAAGAATGAATCTAAGGTTATGTATATCACAGAAAAATTAAGTGATCTTTCAACAGATCACACTGAAATAAGGACAAAAAGAAATAGGACAGAAAGAGAGGACACGGGATTTGCAATGAAGAGATATACAGCAAACCAAAGTTAAGCATTTTCAAGTCCCACTAGTTTTAATACAGCCAAATCATATGCAAGCTTACCCAGAAGTAAACCCATTTAGGTTTTAGGAATATATTCCCAGAAAAACAGAGAGTTGCAACTTCAAGTACGTATTTAGTTCTATCATTGGAATCAAAAGGACTTCAATACTTTATTTCAGCAGGCTGTACACTTAAAACCTATGACTAATACTGTTGAAACTTTATTTCTCATGAAGGAGTAAGAAACATAAAAGATTTTCCAGAACACTGAACCATGTCCTTGCTAGTAATTCAGAGATTAATAACCAAATATCATTCAATTCAGTATTATCTAAAAAAAGGGAAAGAAACAATTTCACAGTATTTTACTCTATAACCATTATATGCAAGATGTAAAGAGCTCTTTATAGTGACTGAAGTGCTTCCACACACATGTAGGACTGCTAATTTTTATTTCTACTTGCAGCCTTTCATGGTATAATGGATGCTGCCTAGAGAGTGTCTCAACCCTTATAATAGGCTTTTTTCAGGAGGATGGAGTGACTAGAGGTTGCTACTCAGATGTGCACATGAAGCAACTCAGAAGTTCCTTAAGCTTCAAGACATCAGTTTAAACAAGAGGGGGAAGTTTACTTCCTGTGCAGTTTATGTCTTACCTATTAAAAATATAACTGGCATAGACGTTACAATAAAGCCATTTATTATCACTCAGGGCAATTAAGAGTTAGGTATAAAAGTGAATGTCTCAAATAAGAAACCAATGTGTCACTTATGCACAAGTCACTTTGAAGTAATACTTTGGTTGCTGAGTTTGAGTCAATTCCAAGTCTACTCCACTGTTAGTTGTAGGCTGTAGCCTACAAGTGCAGACACACATTCATTTTAAATCCAACCACACAAGCAAATTAGGACAGTTTCTCAATGCAATTTTAGTATTAGATATACAACAATTCTACAACTGAAGAATACTCCCACCTAGATGCAAATTGTTTTTTTTAATCTGATCTCAAAACCATTAAAGCTTTAATATATGGATTTTAATTAGTTAAAAATAAATTTTAAATGCTGTAGTTCATCTTATGGGTATTGACTCCGTTTATGTGTTAGAAATAGTCACTGATACTGTTTAGGTTTCCAGTTAATTTACTTACCATTTGTACACTTTTCATAGATGTCAAAACTAAACTAAATAGATTTACTGCACCTTCATATATCATTTTGAAATGCAAGGCCTAATTTCTTTCCATGTGTAAAACTTACAAAATACCTAGGCGGTGTCCAAATTTTTGTCTGTAAAAATGCTATTCACAAGTTTTAAAAGTGCTGTCAGAAAAATTTATAGAATCACTAACATAATAATAATCTGAAGTGAGATATCATGACTCAGATTCAGATATCACACCACACCATGTTAAGAAAACTTGACTGTGCGTATTATACTTGAACTGATAAAGCAGAAAACTTTTGAACTCAGATAATAAACCATGGTTTTATGTATTATAATCTAGCTTGATATGTGAATTAAGAAAACATTGTTACAGATTTTGTTCTGTTTTAGCAGACTGTGAGTGCCAAAGAAACAGAAGCAACCTCCCCCATGATTTGCTATGATACATTTAGAAATTCAAATCATAGCTTTGATTCCCAGCTATGTTTTGTGCAAACCAAGGTTCAGTGCGACTGAGCTGAACCAAGGTACTACTAAAATTGAGAAGTGCATTATTCTAGAAGTCTACTGTAAATTATCCAATAATCCAGCCAAATGAAAAATGTTGACTATTTCAGAATATGTTTGACACATCTTCTGAACAGACAACTGGAAATTAAATACATACATTTCTTGGCATATTTCATCAAGTCCATGGTTCAGGACAGAAAATATACTGTATATAAAAGCTACACTAAATGCTAAAAGTAAAGCAAGAGATTTAAAAATCCTATATTCGCATAATCTACAAATATAAAATAAGTTTTGACAGAGCTGCAAATTAAAAAGGTATCTGCCAGTAACTTAGTACCACCCAAATGCATAATATCATATATAGCTGGTATATATAAGTATTATCTCATTAAAAGACAGAAATAGAAAAAGAGATTCTGCATATGACGGATACATGATGAATACAAGTGGTAGCTATTTTAAAAGATGCAGCTCTTTGTTGTTGTTGTTTAATGGTACTATAAGGTTTAGGGCAGCACTGAGACTACATGAAGTCCTAATCTTTCACTTGATGTTCATCTTAATGATACCCAGAGGAGGTTCCTGCTCCTTTCCTCCTACTTAGGGTTGTGTGTCTCTTGAAAATACTTGCTGATAATGCCTTCTGAATATACTCTATTGGAAGATTTTATGATCATGCTATCCTTCAACCCTAATATTTCTTGCATGCCATTTCTAGCTAATGATGAACATAAGGAAATGCCTTACCTAATTAATCAACTTTAACCTATCCATCCCGTGCTAAGCACAAGGAAACATCAGGATGATATTATTCCTCTTATCTAGTTCTGTCTTATTACCTTACTCCATCATGGCAATGCCAAGGCAGATTTTCAAATGTGCATGAAAGAACTGTGAAAAATGAAAGTCTCCTCAGCTGTGTCATATGTTTTCATCATATAATAAAAGACATTTTGGACCGCGAGTGAGAATGCTGTTATATTAATGCAATATTTCTGTTTCAAGATTAAAAAAAATAAAAAAAATAAAATGCTTTTTCACTCTGAGAACCAGTTGATTTTGAGAAATGAGATCTTTACGTGCCTAATTTATGTGCTGCATTAGGAAGGGAAATGAAAGTGTGAAATTTAAAAATGGAGATCAATTTTCCAGATTTCATGAATTAAAGTTGTCATCCTAAAGTAATTGAACTAATATGTAGAGCTAAATAAAGGAAATAAAAACAAACCACAAAATGCCTGGATATATTTATTTTACAGGTTTTCATCAGAAATGAATATCAAATTAACAACAATGGAAAAAAAATAAACTGACAGGAAAAGGAAATCCCTTTTTTAAAGATGGGGAGAATGCTGTCCACCTCCCAGGTACCTGAAAGGCAGGCATATTGAAGCTATCCACATAGTAGCTGTTACACTACATTGCACAAGGTATCTGAAAGACATAAAGAGATTAAAAGTTTAAAAATGTTTTATAAATACAACCTTTATATTCTGAAAATGTTAATTACAACCCATTACGATGGCTGCCTAATATTCTTGCATGAAAATTCTATATACAATGACTGCAGAATTATGATTCTGATTGAACACTTACAATTCCATGTTTCTATTTTCTCCTGCAATGCTTCTGTACTGGGATGGCAAAATCGCTCTCAACTATTTTTCTGTAGTGAGGAAAAACAACTAAGTACTTCATATGAGCAAGTGCATACCTAGTATACCTGTAGGAATATTTTGCTCATAGCAGACAGCAGTAAAGGTGATAACATGGAAACTTTTAAAATCCAAGTGTCCACTTCTGCTAACATTATCAGAAGTATTACTGATTTTCATCATTTGCTGTTTATGTTTCAAAATACAGATTTGGACTTTAAGATCAAATTGGGGGTTCATGACAATATTGAGCTGATTTCATAATTTTCCTCCTTTTATTTCTCCTCACAATTACTCTCTTGTAGTTATTTAAAAGTCGTTTTTATTAGCATACATTAAAAATGATTTTTTCTTAACTCCTATAAAGCTGTGGTCTATAAAGATATCACATAAACCTGCATCACATAAACCTGACTCTATTTTTGGGGGGGGATAAAACGTAACAAACTCACTAAGAGAAGACAGGATAATAACCTAGTTATACCACCAAAATATAGTGGCTGAAATCCTGCTGCACTGCTATTTGAAAGGCCAACATTCTGAGGCAAATTGCCTCAAGTTAAAACATTTCTATAGACATTATATGATGCATGGTGAGTCAAGTGATTCATTATTTGTTACATTTATATCCTGCATTTCCACTAAAAAAGTGCACAAGTTGGCTTTCAAGGTTTTTAAAAGAAATAAAAACAGAAAAGAGTAATGTTCACCCAAAACCTTAGTAAGGTCATATAAACCTGCCTAATTGTAAAACCATATAAATCAGCAAAGTGAATAAAAAAATCAAATTATAGAGGACACAGGTTAAAAATAATACAGGATGGCAGGTTAAACATCAAATACCAATTTAAAAATATGTGTTTTACTCCCTACTTAAAAGCAGTCAGAGTGGAAACCAGCCTCAGCTCAGAAGGGTGTCCTTTCCACATTCTCAGAGATGCACAGGAAGAAGGCTCTCTCCTGTGTGTTTGTTAGTTGGGCTTCTGGAACCAGGACAACAGATAATGTCTACAGAGATGTCTTAACCTAGGCAATTCACCTCCAAAAGGTATGCCATTTGCAGAGCAGCACAGCAGGATTCCAGCCAATATTGTGGATCCTTATACAATATTAAATTAAAGGTATTATGTTCTCATTATTTATTTATTTATTTATTTATTTATTCATTCATTCATTCATTCATTCATTCATTTAAATTTTTATACCACCCATATAGCCGAAGGTGACTCTGGACAACAACATGAAGAAAAAAAATCAATCAACATCAATCAATTTCATAATTAATTAATTATGAAAACTTCAAAATAAACATAGAATAAAAGTACCATAATATTAAAAACATTATAAAATATATAAACATTTCAAATGGCGGTACTTACTTACGCTTCACTGGTCTCATGCTGAACTGATTGTGGCAGAAATATCTGTTGATATCTTCTGTGGTAAGGTATCAGATAGCTTGAGGAGTTCTGTCCAAAACGTCTTCCAATATTATGCACAGATTTCAAGATGTAAGCTCTGTAGAGCTGATGTTGTAGCTGATTTCATTATATTTTTGTAGTGAAAGTTCTGTGATCTACTCCATGGTGTGGGCATGACCTGAATGCATTATACAGCCTTTTCACAGGTGAGGTCACATTCTAGTTCCAAATATGTCCCAAATATAGGTACTGAATGTGCTTCATGTCTTCACTGTTTCAAATGGCACACTTCTTCCTCGACAAAACTGACATTAAGACTATAAACATTATCTTTCTGGAAGCCACACAGTTTTTGAAGTGTTGCATCTCTTACGCTAAATTGCATTATTATCTAATCTTCTTTTTTTTACATCTGCAAGTAGTATCTTATGAAATGAATATGGGTATCTTCACAGGCAAGATCAACAAAAATAGAGAAAGGCTTTTACCTGAAACAGGTAAAAATAGTTGCTTTCGAGTCCCAAAAATTTTTGGCTACTGCAATCCAATATTGTTTTAAATTTTTAAAAGCCCACAAAATATAAAAAACAAAAAAAGCACTCCTCGGTTATTTGTTCCATAGATTAAATTAACATTTGGAATAGCTTGTAAACTTTAAAGCAAAAAACTAGGCCTCAAGAAATAGAAAGTATAATAAAATAAATAATCTGCTAGAATAAAATTTGAACTAATGCACTGATTTCAGAAGACAAAACACAAAGCATTAAAATACTTCAGCACACCTAAACAGAAAATCCACAAATCCTATAGCTAAAATCAGGTATTCTTTCACTGAAACTGAAAAGCCTTTATTGCCTGAGAATTTCATTCTAACAACCTGCAGACCAGCTGTTTCTTTTTGTTGTTTTTATTTCATTTAAAGGACTCAGCATGGCTTTACTGGACACTACATTAACACATACTGAAATTTGATATGATTTTGTTTTAATTTCAATTGAACACAGAAATCACCATTCATTTCAATTGAGGCACTCTATTGACACATGCATTGTGTTGTGCATTTAGGCTTGATCTGTCTTCCAAAATGAATGAGGAATCTCTCTAAGAGACTGTGCAATTGGAGTAAGTCTACAAGACCTTCGGGTAATCTATGTTGTTGTTGCTGTTATGCGCCATCAAGCAGTAACTGACTTACAGCAACCTTCACAGGGCTTTCCAAGTTTGAATTACCAGCTCTGGCCATCAAGTTTCATGGCCAAGCAAGGGTTCAAACCCAGGTTTCCCGCACCCTAGTCCTTCACACTATCTACTATACCACACTGAGATCCACAGGCAATCTCTAGATCAGGGCAAATATGTATAATATTTATATAGAGGAAACACTATTATTTTCAATTTTCCCCCTCTCAAATTGTGTGAGATATACAACATACACAAATGTTTTATTTGAATTATACTAAGATTTCTCCCATTACACGAATGTGCCTGCAAAATCTACTCTCTCTCTCATCCATTGGGGTTCCTGGCACATAGCTAAGCTATTTCAATTAAGTGTAGCTAAAGACTACTGTGAGGCAGATCAGTCTTAGGTAACAGGCTGTCATTCAGCAAATCTGTATTCATTTTTTCAAATTACTAACAACCTGAAGAAATAGTGGAGAGGGGGCCTTCCTGGTTAGCAAATGTTCATTCTAAGGACCCACTGGCTTAATTTGCAGTTTAGTAAATATGGTGGAATGGAAAATACCAATATAAAAATAATTATTATGTATGTATTTATTTATTATGGTCAAGTGACCAGCTCGTAAAACATATTATATGGCTAAAACATGCAAAATACAAATAAAAGAGTGCACAACAGATAATTAGTTGTGTACTGATTATAGTATATGGGGAGAATCAGTTACATAAATTTTTATATCCATCCTTTGAACCATTGGATCGTCTAGGGCAAACTGGTTTGGACAGGCTCTTTGGGTATAGGGAATCCTTCATACATATTTATAAGCATTTGTAAACATTTCATCTCCTCAGTTGGGACCACAGAATTTCTCTACACTCAACAACAAGCCATTATAGTATTTTATTATAGTTTGGGATGCTTTCTTTCAATGACAATGTGTAAAGTACAATATTACTTTTAATGTTCATAAAAGTAAGGTAAAACACAACGCTTCATTTAAAACTTTTAAAGACCTCTAGTTACTCATGATCCAACCAAACATAGCCCTGATCCAGTGGCTTTGTTGTATATATGGGGCTCTGATTCAGACACAGAGTTGCACACAAGAAAAAAAAAGCTCACTCCCTTTGTAATGATAATAAAATGTTTTCTTTAATTCTTGTTCCCTTAATAAAGGGAGAATACATGCACAAGAACTTATGTCTGCCTCTGAAATGAATAAGACAGAGACTGCCTGCACAGAATTCTATGCAGTTTACAATGGAACTTTGGATAAGGGTGATTCCTTCTTTACATATAATTGGGATGAGGAATCAAATTTAGACTACATTTCAAATTTTAGACTACATTTCCAAAAACTCCTTCCACTGACTGTGGTGGGTAGGGTTGATCGGAGTTGTAGGTTAAAGCATGGCTGTGTGTGCAAACAAGACGTTAAGTGTGTTTTAAAATAAGTGCATGTGTTGAAGTGACAAGTTCTTGGCTCTGTTGCATGAGTGAATTACTTTTATGTCGGTGTGTGCTCTCTCAAAACACACATTACTTTTTAGTGGGTATACTGCACATCTATCCTAACACTATCAGTATACATGTGAATGGCTTTGGGTGTGCATAGGTAAACACTGTCTTTGGCTTCACAAGTGATACCAAGGTCGTTCAATCTCCCTTAGCAAAGCAGGTACAAGAAAATACATGTTAGATACTTCTGGATAACTCAACTACACTATCAATCTTTGGATAACACAATTGCATTACAAGTTGTTATCACACGAGCTCACAATTGGTTAGTAAATTTTATTCTACTCTGGTTTCCACGGAGCAATTGGAGGAAACGTTTTTGCAGTAAGTTGAACTCCTAGCCACTGTAAAGATCAGTAAAAGAAAGAGTGTATGCTGGTAAAAGATTGAAATATAAAAGAGAAGCAAAGCAAAACACAGTTTAATTTTAGCCATATGAACTCACTGCTGTAAGATGACATCAAAATGTTTGATAGAACTCTGAAACTCATATTATTGCCTGTCCTTAATTTCTTCTACCTATGTGACACCTAAACTATTAGTAGTGTGCTGTGCATTCACATTTGCAAAAAAGAAAAAAGAAAAACAAAGGTTCCTGCCTTGAAGAAAGAAGGTGATGTACAAAACGTGGGGTAGGGGAGAAGGATGCAGCTAAATATATGCAACCTTTATATACTGTACATATATTTAATTTTACTACAAAATGTCAGCAATTCCCATCTGTCTGTTCATTTAGCAATCAGTCATTGCAAGTTGTGCAAGAGGCTCAAAAGACTTTGCAGCAGAGGTGGGTTTCAAGGAGATAAAGGAGAGGAGAGTCACAGCTTTATGGATCAGTTCAGGAAGGGCATTCCATGCATATGGGGCCGTGTGGAAGATGCTATGTTAAACCTGAAATTATGCAGAGCAGCAGTTCTCCAGGTAAAGACTCAAAGTGTGTGTGAGGTGCCTATTTTTTGAGAAAGAGGCAGTGTGTGGTTCATTGAGGAACAACTGGCCATTAAGCAAGCAAGTGAAATAAGTGATGCAGACTACACCAAACACTGTTACTTGCCACTGTTCTCATATGGATGCTTCACACATGGCATTCTGACATGAAGGGAACCTCAGTGTAGGAAAAACTATGTTATGTGTCCATTTTGCCTGGATTACACATGTTCTGAAGCTGCAGAAGGAGATTCCAAATATATGTAATCACAACAGAAGAGATACACAGTGTGACTTCAATATGTATATTTTCCCCACAGCAGGCTTCCACATGTAAGAAAAAAAGCCATATATGGAGCAACCATATAAGTACCTGCCAGTTAGCACAGTAACCTTGAGGTAATGATAGGGAAACAACTGGAAATAATCTTAAACAGAGAAAGGGGGAAAGAGTGGGGATGAAGGAGGAAAGACAAAAGAAATAAATGGGATCATTTATTTCAAACGTGATGCCCTAAGGAAATCAGTCTTTTCATATATTTGCAATTCAATATTTAACTAAGTAAAAACATATTCAGTGATTATCTGATGATCACCAATCTAGCCCATTAACAACTATATATTCCCCTTTTAATGGGAATTGATGTAAAAATAGATTAAAAATAAGAGACAAAATGCTTCCCCTTACCCTTCTTCTTCCGTACTGAAGCTTGGAAATAGAAAGGGAATGAATGGTAAATAAAATCTGAAGTGAAGGTTGTCCTAAAATGTTAAGTCCCTGCTTGAATTTCAAGCACCAACATTAACCACTGTAGCTTTCTTTTTCAAAACAGTCAATACTGGCATTAATTTGGGCATAGACGGAGTTTAAATTCTAATTAGGAGATTGGGTCTGCATTAAAAGGCAGAATATCTTGCCAATGGTGAAAAGTACTTACAAAAGCAAAACAGCATTTTTGGGAAACTTTGAAAATAATGGTGTGGTGTGCTTATTATTTTTTAATACTCTCTTAAGCAGTTCCACATGAAGCTTTGAGCACAACCTTGCTTCAGTCACTGAATTTTGTGCAGACTTCACATGATGTTCTCCCCTTTAACTTTTCCTTATTTTCTCACCACTTCTATTCTTGCCCTCCCCGCAACAAATCTTTAAAGAAAATGAGAGAGACAAAACAGCTGCACAGTGCCTTCTGATAGCTAATGGAAGGAGCTGTCCATCTGGAAATTATCTGTGAATGTATAGGATTACTATAAACTTGCTTACTCCTGTTAATCCTCCCTAGAATATACATCAATTAGTGAATAGAAAACATCCATGTAATATCATTGGATATCAGGAAATTAAAAGACACAACTCCTATCTTCACCAGTTTCCTTATATGCCAAATAATCAAATGATTTTAAAAATGAAAAAAGTTTTACGAATAACTTGTAATTTAATAAAAGTTAAGTGAGGAGCTACTACAAGTATATTGCTTGAACCTTAGTAGCTCCTTGGATCTTAACCATGATTATCAACAATAGCCCAGACATGGGGAACAAATATTGCAAAATGTATCAGTGAAGACATTAGCTTCCTGCTGAAATAATTTGTTCCAGGTTTTTTATTAACTTTTGAAGCAGGCATGGGAACCACCTGTCTACAAGGTCTGGATGATCGTACCCTTAAAAATAACGTGGCCAAGGATTTGTATGGATATGTTTCTTCCAAAATGAAAAACAGCAGCCTCAGGCTGTCATGTCCTTAATGTAAGCCCACTCTACCCAAAGTTTCTTTGAATTTGTGTGCCCCTACAAAAGTCACTGATAATTCCTCCACTCTTTTGCCTATGGAAGGACAAATGGTCCCATGAATCTGGAAAGGCAGACAGAGGAGAAGAAAGAGGAGAAAACTATTAAGAGGCATAACAGAAACACATTGTGAATGATACATAGTGTGCACATGCTTTTCATGCAGAAGGTTCCATGTACAGTTCCTGGCACCTCCAGGTATGGCTAGGATAGACTCCAGCCTGCAAACCTGGCAAACAGACACTCAGTAATATAAAAATGTAAAAATATGTACTAATATATATGGCCAAATATTACAATTAAAGACACGTTTTAGTTTTTTACAAGAGCAAAATAAGGAGACAAAGGCCAAAATCCTGTTGCGCAGAGGTGGATTACCACTGATTAAACACCTTTTTCAATCTCAGGTGCTCAGGGCTTGCACGTAATGAGATGAAGTTGGGTGCACCATGACACTGAAAAAGTCCATTTTTAATCAGTGGCAATCTGCAACTGACAATGACATCATTCCTGTTGCAGAGGCAGAACATGTCCAACAGGATCTTGGTGAAACAACAACATATTTATTAAACATCATTTAAATTGGGAATTAATTTTTTACAAGATATCTTTAGCTCATGGAACTATTTTTGTTAGGTTTTATTGATAAAATGAATATGATCAGTTTGGTTAAATATGTAATTATGCTGATTCACAGGAATGAAAACAGATAGAAAAATAGAAAAGAAACAGATATATCTTATTCTATTACCTTCATCTGATAAAATAGCATTCAAACCGTATCAGATTACAAAGAAGACATTAATAGTGCAGGATCCTGGTTTCCTAACTTATCAAACTGTTTACAACTCACTGACAGTAAATTTATGTTACATTGTACTATCCAAAACATATCTTAAGGAGTTAAGGAGACATATTATAATTGCATAGCTCCAAAGCCTTAAGGCCCCTCATGCCAGAAGCCAACTACACAGAATAAACCAAAAGAACCCTAACTAGCACAACATATAGCATTCTGCTGAAGTGGTAAAAATATTTTCAGCGTAGTTGTTTGCTACATATTCCATGCAACATGAAGACTTAACATACTCTTGTCAACAGACGGCACTGCACTGCAAGTCACAATAGTGCACACAGGCTAAACCTACAGATGTTTTCTCAAAAAGACATACTGAGTTCAGTGGCATTTATTCCCAACCAAACGTGCACTGGATTGCAGACTTGCTATATTTAGGAAAGCCAGTAGTCATGCAGGAATACTGTTCGCCGTGCATGCTTTCCCAGCATGTTCTGGGCTGGTTTGCTCACTTAAATATTGGGGAAAGATCTTTCTGTTGCAATTAATAGGGAATGCAAGTGAATAGGATATCCACAACCATATGAAACATCTTTGTTCATCCTAGAAACTTTGGATCATATTAAGAGTGGCTATCTGAAGATGTCAGACAAGATTTGATCCTATATTTAAAAAATCACCCCTGCCTTTCTTTCAACAGTGATTGGGAAAAACTTTTTCTCTATTAATACTGGCTTGAAAAACCCTACAGTTGCTGTCATCTCTATTTATGACACACGTGGACTAATTAGGACTTACACCCAGGCAGAGAACTACCAGGCTGATCTATTTAATCCATTAAAATGTATACTAGTGATTGATTCCTTACTCAGTTGCCTTTTGAAGTCTTCTTAACATCCTACTCAGCAACGTCCCTGTTTCCCCTAAAATAGGACCTAACCTGAAAATAAGCCCTAGTATGATTTTTCAGGATGCTCATAATATAAGCCCTACTCCAAAAATAAGCCCAGTTAAGTGAAACCCCACCCTCCACCATTATGCAGCAACTAGAAAAATATGACATAACTGTATTTGAATAAATGTAAATTGTTGTACATGAAACAATAAAGCATCCCTTGAAAATAAGCCCTAGTGTATCTTTGGAGCAAAAATTAATATAAGACCCTGTCTTATTTTGGGGGGAAACACGGTACTTTGAAACCTTGGAAACAGTTCTCCGAAAGATGCATAATTTCATTTTACAAGATAATCACACAATTTCAAAGCAGCAGCAGTTTAAAAACACAAAATTAAAAGCAAGTTATCTTTAAGGTAAGCTTAGCCATCCCTTAAATTATAGAACCAAGCACTAAAGATAATTTTTTGTTACAAGGAATCCAAATCAAGCATTAAAGTGGGTCTGCTTTCAATGTAGTGCCTAAAGAATAATTGCTACTGTTTGGGAAATGCCCATTTTCTTTGGGGAAACTGAGTTCAGCAGAAGGAAAACAGTTTATTAGGTCTCAAAATAATCTTAGAAAGATGCTAAGACCTGTTAAGGCAGCAATGTGATGAGTTAATTACAATTAGTCCTTTTTGGCTGCTAATTACTCTATCCACACTGGTGTAATTCATAAATTCTAGACTGGATTCCAGTTTTTCAGTAGTGAATTCCAGTTGGAGGAGAATTTCCTCTTTCCCTCCTGAAAACTTGCTCTAGAGGGTGTGGGACTCTGTAAAAGTTTAGGAACCAGTAATGGGCAGAGGAATGAAGAGGAAATTGGCAACATGGGTCTGCCACAGGTGAATCTTGACCCCTTTTATGAATGGAGGATGCCTTTCTCTTCAAGAAGTGCATAAAATCCATTGGCTTGGAAAGGGCAAAAGAAAACACAATGCAATATTCTCCCTATCCTTGAATGGCAGGAAGATTTTTTGTTTTGGTTTTAACCAGTCAGAATTTATTTCAGCCTATTAGATGTTCATTATTTTTCTGACATATAGGAAAGTCTTTCTTGTTTGCCCATGATCAACAAAATGAGGGTATGCCATGATACAAAAACCTATTAAGACAAATAACTTCAAAGCTTTCCCAGTGAGTGGCATAGAAACTTTTTAGTATGGCAAAATTTAAACACGCACATGCACAACGCCAACATCAGAACTCCTTATTTTCCATGAAGAAAGTTAGAAAGTCTCCACATAAAATAACACTTTAAAATTGCAACTAGCTTATTTAGAGGAAGAAAAGAAATAAAGAAAAGGCCATTTCTGAAAGAAAAGTTTATAATTCAAACACAGTAAATATTTATGTTTAACAACAAATTTATTCTACAGCCAAAGGCCTGATAATATTACATTTAAGCATTAGAAGAACCTGTTTTCTTACACATTAGCATTTAATATCCAAAACTTTCAATTTCTTCCTACAGGTTTTAATCTAAATCAGTGTAACACATTAGAATGATTAGAAAATTACTCTTATTAAACCTATCTGGGGTCCCCATAAGAGATTAGACTTTTATATCAAACTGGCCAGAACATTATTATTTACATATATTCAACATAAATAAAACAGCATACATCAAAGCAAAAAACTGCTGTTAATTAAGTAGTCAGGCTTGTATTCCTTGCTCTGCACCAGTTGCATCAAGGAATATAAGTCTGAACTTCTTAGCTTATAGCCATTTGCTGATGTGTTTTACCCTACCCACTAATTGAATTTCTTGAACAATAAGGAGAATAACTGGCCTCTGATGGAAGTCTGTTGGTTGTAAAATAATCACACAATAATACACAGATTTCACAGTGTCTAAACTAATTATTATACAATATTTACTAAAAGATGGGGAAGTGTGCATTTTCTTTTGGAAAACAATATATAAAAATGCTGCACTTGAATATTATACAAATACGTTATACTACATAGCTATATTTTTATTACTAACAGTGCAAATCACAGAGGAAAGAATGGCCTTGTTCATGCAAATCTCTCAAATATTTAGCAATAAATAAACAAATAACAATAGGCCCCAATCAAGGTTGACAGTAGGAGATTTTGTGCCTTGTGTCATATTTCTGGAAGTCTCTCTTCACCCAAATTACAGTTGACCTCCCCTTTTTTGGAGTAAAAAAATGAAACATTTCCATCTAACATCTGGGATAGGTACTGATTTTAAGTGCAGGAGTTCCAAAGCGCAGTATTACCAGATCTGACAAGTCCCGGTCACATAAATTACAGAAGAAATAGGTATCTAGACTACTTGATTGGGACTTGTCAAAAATGTTAACATTGCTTGTCACTAGTGCCTCTGCACTTAAAACCAGTGCCTACCAGTTTTAAATGGGCTTTCTTGCCTTTAGATACTTCTTGATTTTTTTTAAGGGCGGATCTGAGAACAGAAACCTATTTCTACTCATGGACTGCTTTTGTTGGATCAGGGTTAGATATACTACAAGGACAAAGCTATATTTCTTGTCAGCTTTTAAACAATGAGGGCTAGCAACTTACCTTTATCCACTAATGAGAGGCCACAGAAATTTAAAATAAAACAATATTAGACAAACTGACTTATTAAATAAAACCCAAGCTAGTAAAATATGCTATTATGTTTATATAATGTGTGAAATAATGATGTGCACAAATGAAAAATACATTCTCTTGCAGAGCTAGAAACAAAAAATTAAAAATGAACAAGATCATTCATGCTTGTCATGCACACATGGAAATCTCCAATGCAACATTCCCATGTAATAATTTCAATACCACAATCTGTACAAAGTGCAGTTCACTTTCAAACAGTTTCATATTCTCTTTACATCTCCATTACTGTAGCATGCTCATTAAAAAACACTTTCTTACCAAGCTCTTCAAGTTCTGAGGTCATTGACTTAGACCGCAAGGTCAGTGCAGTGGTTGGAGCCCGTTTTGGAGGTGGTGGGGCTTTGCATTAAACAGAAGGATATATATTGTAAGTAAAAGCACTTCAAAATACAACATCCTCATGTATTTGCCGTTCAAATTAAATGCAAAAAGGCATTACTAGTTAGTGAAATTTCAGTTTTCTCAGTATACTTCAAATAATAGCGGTCTCTAGCAAAAATTAGTCACTATATATAGTAGTTTCCACATATAGGAGGAGGAAACCACAACAATACTACTTCAACATATATATAAATAACAGTGGAAGGGACCAGAAACCATGGCAGGACATTATATATAACATCTGTTATTTCCCCTGTATATAAATACAGGGGAAATAACAGATGATACAATTTATATATATATACATAAAAGTCATCTTTATTATGTGGAAGGTACAGATAGAAAATATCTATATAGAATATATATACTGTATATATAGGGAAAATAACAGATGACTATATATATAGGGGAAATAACAGATGATATATATAATGTCATGCCATGGTTTCTGGTCCCTTCCACTGTTATTTCCCCTATATATATATAGGGGAAATAGCAGATGATAGTTCTATATATAGGGGAAATAACATGATAGTTCTATAATGATATATATATAGGGGAAATAACAGATGATAGTTCTATAATAGGGCTAATCAAGACCCTGAAGAGTGATATACAATTTATAATTTGTGAAACTAAACTAAAAAGGCTGGAGGAGAAAATAATCTAAACTACATCCAGTGATATACTGAATTCAATGTCTACATTATATCAGACTTCTAAATGAAGACATACTTTTCTATCTGTACCTTCCACATAATAAAGATGACTTATTCAACACCAGGCAAGCTTGAGAGATTTTCTATGAAATTACTGGTATTCTGAGTAAACCATTATCCAGTAAACCAATCCAGATCCAAAGTACAGAAACTTGTTTTTAAAAATCATTTGTTTTCATTCCTTGTTATAGTTTGATAAGTACACTGATATTATTACTCATTACAATGTTAAATAAGTATTTCACTGTTATTTGTTAAACTGCCATAAAATTGAAAAACTTTTTTTCAAAATGCCTCTAAAATACCGTTTAAAAGTAACACTTTAAAATGGAAAATGTTAATTGCTACTAGAGATGGGCATGAACCTCGGTTTGAAGGTTCATACTGGTTTGTATGCAATGTGTGTTACCTTCCTTCACCTCCCTGGCTGGATCCCCCACTCACCAGCTGGTGCATGCTCGTCTCCTCCTCTTCTTCCGCTGTTTGACCAGTCTCTGGACTTCCTTGCCCCACCTCCCTGGCTGATCACCCACTCAGACAAGGAGGCAGAACAGGCAGCCCTGTGCTGCTGGTGGAACTGGTTGAATAGGCAAAGAGGATGAGGAGAGGAACATGCAACAGCTTGTGAGTTGGTCACTGGCTGGAGAGGCGAGGAAAGGGAACACGCAACACAAACCTCTGAGACAAGGATTGTGCCCATCTCTAATTGCTACTCTAGAAAGTAACCTTCCAAAGCACTGACCAGAGAGAAATGCTTAACAGTGTTATGTTTAAAGTGTAACATTGATTTTCTGCAGCACTGCCAAAATCCACTCAAGGCATGTCAAGCTTGTTGTAACTGATATATATGAAATTGGCAATGACTTGTAAAGTAAGGTATGTTCAGTTTAATAACTATGCACGCCTTATCTATGAAGATTATCAGTCAGTCATCTAGGTGAGGTTATCTGGAACCTGAGTCATGGCAACTGGACTTCTTTCTTATTAGGTTGAAACATTTCGCTACTCATCCAAGTAGCTTCCTCAGTCTGAGGAGAACTGTAAGGAGACCCTGATATATACTCCATGTTGGTTTCACTTCCCACTGGTCTGAATAGGGGGCGAAGATCACGATTCAGGAAGTACAGGCCTTCACAAACCACATAAACGCAGTGGACTCAAATATAAAGTTCACCAGGGAAGACACCAAAGACAACCTGCTGGCATTCCTGGACTGTGCAGTCATCATAGGATCCAACGGCAGCTTAAGAATAGAAATCTACAGAAAACTTAAACATACTGATGAATACCTGCAGTTTGACTCTCATCACCCACTGCAACACAAACTAGGGGTCATCAGGACATTAAACCAAAGAGCAAGAACATCCCCACATCCACAGAAGCCAAGAAGAATGAAGACGGACATCTGAAGACAGCCCTCAAAGCCTGTGGATATCCAAAATGGGCTTTTAACAAGGCAATGTCCTGACCCAAGAGGACAATGAACCAGTCTGAGACCCAGAGCCGATGGAAGAACCTGGTCATTCCTTACATGGCAGGTATGTCTGAAAAGCTCAAAAGGTTTTTTGGTAAACACACAAACATACTAAGGCAGAGACTCATCCACCTACAAGACTGGATGCCAAAACACAACAGGAGCAACATAGTATATGTGGTCCAATGCAAAGAGGAGTGTTTGGAGTGCTACATTGGAGAAACCAAACTGCCACTAAACAGGAGAATGGCTGAGCACAGGAGGGGCAATGGCTCAGGACCACAATCAGCAGGGTTTCTTCATTTGAAGGACAAAAGACACTCATTTGATGACCAGGATGTACTCATTTTGGACAGAGAAGATAGGTAGTTTGAGAGAGGGGTCTGGGAGGCCATACATGTAACATTTAGAAAATCCCTCACTCAACAGGGGTGGAGGCCTTAGATACAATCTGTCTCCTATTCATCGTGCTGCCCTTTCATCTATTCCCAGAAAGATCAGGATCACAACCACCCAAAAGACAGATGATAGTTCTATAATGACTGTTAACAACCCATGACAATGGGTAGAGAAGGACTGCAGAAGTGGGATTTTCACTCACCCCCCACGTCCTTTGTCCATCTAATGAGCCTATTCAGACCAGGGGGAAGTGAAATTAACCTGGAGGATATATCAGGAGTCTCCTACCAACTCTCTTCAGACTGAAGCTAATTGGATGAGTAGCAAAACGTTTCAACCTAATAAGAAAAAAAAATCCAGTTGCCAAGACTCAGCTTCCAGATATGTACGCCTTAGTTACACATTTCATTTTCATAATTATTCCAATAATTATGGAGTAATTATTTGCTTCAAAGTAGCCTTGGAAGCAAATAATGGACAACACCTTGACGCAGCCAATTTGTACGTGAACTATAAAATACGTAAGTGCACGATTATCCAGAAGAAATAAACAGTAAATAAAAGTCACTACACAAAACCTCACTTTCACTTGGTTCCTGGATTTCTTTGAAAAATGTGCAAAATTAAGCAACTACCATGAACTTAAAGAGATCACATGATTAGAAAGGCCCAATAAAGCTAGGGGAAAACATTGATATTTTGCATGGGAATCTTGGATTATTTTAGATTTCTTAAAAATTCTAACAGTATGTGCTGAAATACTCTATTTTTAGGGTTGTTGTCATAAACAACAAGGAAAGAAGACAGGACGCAGGAGACTCCTCCTGTCTACATCACGTGTGGACAGACTAAGGTCCTAAGATCACATGCACCCCCAGCCCTCTCCTACATCTCTCTTTTCCTGGAAGATGTTATGAATTTCAGCTCCTGGCAGCAGTTCACCTTTTAAATGGATCACAAGCAACTATGAAGAATGTGATGATCATTTGAAAACTCAATAGGAACATCTAGCCACTTCCAGGTTCTTTTTCTTCTTGCATGTTTTGGCATTGTAGGTGTTTCTATGCAATCCCTAGAGCAAGGGTCCCCAACCCCCGGGCTGTAGACCGGTCCCGGTCCATGGCCTTGGAAAGACCAGGTCACTGGGACAGACAAGCGGCGAGCAGAAGGTGAGCAGTGAGCAAAACTCTGCCTCCTGTCCGTGCACACCTACTAGGTTTTAAGTCACTGCTGATGTAACAGGAGGTGGAGCTTCCATTGCAGCTCACTTCCTGCTCCTGCTTGCCACAAGTAACCTCCTCCCGGTCCTTGGGAGAATGGTGTACAACTAAACCAGTCCCTGGTGTCAAAAAGGTTGGGACCTTCTGCCCTAGAGGGCCTGGAGTTGGGGGAGAAGACTGGTTCCCAGATCCAACAATACAACCAGCTCTACCACTGTTTAAGATTATTTCTCCTCTACACTCAATGATACAGGTTAACAACTATTTTTTTCTGTTATTCCATACAGAAACATTAAACTTTAACCAATTAGGAAATTCATACTAATTTTTAAAATGGCATTTTATTTTTATTTTTTTGCTCACTCTGATAGCTGCTTTCTGCAATAAGCAGCATGCACTCATGATTTAAGATATACACTAGCTGTGCCCAAACCTGACATCGGATCCCTCTTTTGATTTCTGAGAAAGTCATGCCTGCTGACATCTTCCTTACAGTCATCCACCCACTTTCAACAACAAAAATCAATTCACAATTTAAAATTGTAAGTAAAGAAAGAGTTAGGAAGATTATTTTGAATTAAAGATAAGAATTATTATTTTATTTGTTAAAATGTTTAATGCAATGGATTTATCTTGAAAAATCAGATAATCGCAACACATTTAATTAGAAAGTTGCTGCTGCATCTCACAATCTTGTGTATCCCCTGGATTTTTTTCCATGTCCCCCAACATATGATCTAGTGATGTACACAAAAGACTTGAGTCATTAGATTGGCAACATAAAAACAGAATAATAAGATTCGCATGAGGAAGATGACATGCAGCAATGGCAAAAGCTTGAAAGTTTGTTGAGTATGTATGAGATATCAAAAGACACACAACATTTCTGTACATCGTACAAACCAATTATTGGTGTGAAGATACACACCACTATGAAGCAAGAAATGAAGTTAAATTACCCATGAGTTTCATATGTATATTGTTTAATATACCGTTTTCAATAGGAG